AAACTTCGAAATTTTAAGAAAGTGAACATCTCATTGGGTTTCGCTATTTAGTTGTCTTAAAACATATATCTGAAACAATGATATATTATTAATATTTGTCTGTCTCTCAAACTAGGCTCCAAGTTCTTTTGATAAGATGATGGTAGAGATGGGGTAGAGAAATTTATGTTTTTTTAAATGTGCATAAGAGTTTTGTTTGTAGATAATTCATGAAGTCTTTTTAATATTTTTTTTCTCAAACTAAAGGGGTGTATATTCTGCCATAAGTGTGAAAAATTAATTGTACCTCCATACTGTCCATACATATTTAATTGCAAGTACAAAAATAATTGTTTGCAAAGGAAAAACAAAATATGAAACTTGGTGCCATGAGAATATGACATTATAAGGATAATTAATGAGAAAAACATGCCCAACCAAGGGAAAAGAAAGTATGGAGGATAATTTTTTGCTCAGGATTAATTGGAAGTCTCAGGACTATTTTCTTCCCATGGGTGACATGCGCAGCTCTCTGTTAGCATTGTGTAGCAACATGAGCCTCACAGTTTGTCATCCTCTATGTGATAGTATACCTTACTTTTTTTTTTAATGGCAAAATTATTGCTTCCAACTGCAAAGAAATAGATCATACTTTGGGAAAACTAAATAATGAATACCAAACCCTTAAATTGTCAGATGCCAATCTTATCACTTTATACATATAATTGGAAAGAAAGCCAGAGAAAAACTCATAAACTTTGTTTAAAAAATTAAGTCTGTGGAAACACAAAGTTAATCAAATGGAAAACATTCCATAAATCTCAGCTTACTGTCATTGAATATGAACACAAAGCAACCTGAATCCTTGTTCATAATATTTTGCTGGAAAAGCCAATCCTTAAATTTTCATTAGAGCCAATAAAAGAAACCACTTTTTAAAAAAATGAGATGACTGATAAATTTAATTAATTAAAATGTAATAAAACAAGCAAAGTAGAAGAACAAATTAAAAGGAGGGAAAAAATGTGTTTGCCATGTATCACAAAGGGTTGGTATCCCAACCTATGCTCTATATAGATGCTATGCTCTATATCTTTATAGAGTATCTTATGAATAAAGTGGAAAAATGCCAATGATCCTGTAGAAAAACTGGACAGTTCAAATGAAAAGAAGCTCAAATGCCTTTCAACCATTTGAAAAGATGCTCAACTTTACTCATAGAAATAGAAATGCTAATTAACACTTTGCTAAATTAGCTATTCTAACCTATCCGATTGGCAAATTTCCAGATGCTTGACAACATACTCTGGCAAAGCTGTGGGGAAATAGACTACTCATGCATTGCTGATGGGAAGGCAAAATGCTAAAACTCTTGGGGAAGGAATTTGGCAATATCTAGAAAATATTACATATTCATTTACTATTTGATGAAACAATTACACTTCTAGGAATCTATACCAAAGATATAGTGGAAACACATTAAAAAGGCATATAAACAAGGCTATTAGTTGCAGAATATATATAAGTATGAGACTGGCATATATTACACTATGCACCTACAAAAAGAAATGAAGACTATTACTCTAAACAATGGAGTATTCTTTAGGTACATTGTTAAGTGAAAAAAATTAAGATGGAGGGAGTATGTTTAGTATGCTACCACATTCACATATGTATTATCTTTTATCTCAAGAAAAAGCAATGGAAAAATAAACAGTAAAATAAAAGGGATAGAACCAAACATTTATGTTTGTATCATATTTAGTAGATTTGAATTTGGATTTGTATATATATTTTTACATAAGTATTTTCCAAATATCAAAAAGCAACTCCTAAGAATTAAAAGTGGCATGAAATAATGATCTTATTATCCATTCAATTGTTAGCATAACCACATAGAGAGGAGCTGTTCCAAATAACTATAAAATGCTAATTTTTCTACCCATTCCTATTAGGATATACTATTTTGGATATGAAGGACTTCAGGTAAATAAATAAGAGAACCAAACAAACTCTTTTCAGTAATCGTATTTTCAGTGCTAATGTTGGTGTTGTTGTATATGACATGACATAAAGAAAATGAATAAAACTTGGTTGTTAATTGGAATTTTCACCATGATTAAACAGCAATATGATATAAGATCAATGAGATTAACAAAAGCCTGAATTTAATTTGGAAGTTTTGATGTTAACTTATTTATTTTACCTTAATATTATGAAATACACTATCTTTGTGCACTGAAAAGTCCTAGAAAGAAGAACCAAACTAAAATATCAATAAGCACCTATGTTATCTAGATTGTCATCTCTTGTTACCATTTCCTACCAAAACAAATCAGAATTTAAAAAAATACTGATTACCAACCTGGACAGATAATATGAAAGATGAGCCTGGAATATCTTGTCATAGTTTAAAGCAGACCAGCTATCAAAGTCAAGTCAGACTTAGTATAGATCTACCTACCAATTTTCAGGAAATACTAGGTTGAACCACATAAAATTGTCATTTTGTGTATCAAAGCCAGTTGAAATTAGTAGTTTTATGAGATTACGGATAATATAAGGGACAGAGAACCATTAAATAATTCTATAGGAATATAAGCATTAAGTGTATGGATGGTGGAAAAATCTATAGAACTAGCAACACAATTTCTGTAAGAAAAGTTTATAAGAATGACAACAGATTGAGAGCAGCTTATAAACTAAGAGAGAATAAAAGGCAAAAAAAGACATCAAATAATTACAATATATGGCCTTATTAGATAATGAATAATGATTCAAATGAACACATCTTTAAACATCAGGAAATGCAAGCTTTGATTAGATACTGATTATATTAAGGAATTAATCTTATTTTTGAAGTGTGATGCTGTTATTACAATTATATTTTGAGTCTTACCTTTTAAAAATACATACTAAAATATTTATAAGAAATGATTTGCTTTAAAATAAATAGGAGTGGAGGATATTGGAGTAGATAAGGCATACATGCAACAAGATGGGTGTGGGCTACATCAGTTTATTAGGGTCTCTACTTTTGTATATATTCAAAATTCTTCATTATAAATTTTACATTTCTTAAAAGTAAAATCAAAGGTAGGCTTGGGTTTTTTGTCCACCTTTATACAGAGAAGAAGAAATCTTACAAGGTTTCCAGGATTTTGTTAAGTAGAAACTTTTGGGAATCAGGTATACAAAGGAAACTATGATTTATTGATTGCCTAATATTTGCATGAAACTGGACTTAGAAATTTGCATATGTTAACATGAAAGAGTTAGGTATTATTGTCTCAATTTTATACTGTTCTATTGATATTAGCTTGATAAAATAAATTGTATATTAGTAAGAAACAAATGACTCGATTGGATTTGAATAGAAATCAGGATGGCACTTTCCAATTTAAAATAATAAGAGTCAATGTATATCTATTTCTGGTACATGAGATATTGGGACTACTACACACTAGGAAAACACTGGGAAGTAAAAATGCAGCATTAAGTTCCACAGGACCCAGGAGATGAGCCAGAAGAGAAGGAGCACAAAATAAAAGAAAACATTCCAGTTGTTAGGTGGTGGGCATGAAGAGGCAGGAGTTGAGTTTCCCTACTCACCATTCAGCTATTCAGTAACCAGATCATTCTGCCTATGCATATGATGGACAGGTTTCTGAGCAGATAATATTTATCTAGCTACCTATCTATCTATGTATGGATCTATCAATCTCTCTAATTATTCACACATACATTCCCCATTTAAATATTTCAAATGCTACAATAAATAAATAAACTTAATCTTCTCTCCAAATGATATTCACTGTTAACATTTTTTCTTTTGCTACTCTTATTACTGAGAAATAATGATACGATTAGGAAGTATTGTGGTTTTGTGAGAATTTTGCTAATTACTTATTTTCATTAAGTCATAGATATCTCATCTGTACAATGAGGAAAATATTTCTTAACTGTACCATGATTGTGAAGGTTAATGTTCCTAATACATGAAAGACTCCTGGCATATATAAGCATAATCCCAAGTAATTTAGCAGATTGTTGATAATTAACAGAATTAATAGGCTTCCTAGCAAAGCCTGGCTTTGTCATTTAGGAGCTGGAAGCTCTTAAGCAAATTACCTTCACTCTCTGGGCCTCAGTTTCCCCACCTAAAAATAACTACCTCACAAATTTATTTGAAAGGCTTCAATGATATAGTATAGAATAAATAAACTGGCTATTTTAATGTCTGGCAAATAATGCTAAATAATGGTGCTTCTTTCTTTATAGGCTTTTGATAATAATTTACTAATATTACTGTTATTATTGTATTTTATATGGAGCTTTATGTTCTGCTTTTTTTAATTAACCTCAGAGCAGTAACCTTTATCATGCTGTTAATAATACTTTATAAATGTCCCTATTAATGGAAGAAGTATGGTATTGACCAGTAACTATGGACACAGGAGGACCATTTTCTACTAGAGATATCTCCCATGCATTTTCATGAGCAAAATTTCCTGAGTGGTAGGCGGTGACTAGTTCATCATTTTGTCAAACGTTTTTTTAAGGTTTCAAGTTGTCCAGCCATAGCCAAATGCCTATATTAATTTTGTGCCACTTAATTTTGCTAAATGCAGTCTACTCTTCCTGTATGTGACTATGTACATGAAAAAGCTTTTGTCTTCTTGAACATTATTGTCCATCAGGAAGGAGTTTCATTTTTGGCTTTTTTTTTTTTTTTACAACAAGGGCAGATATGCTCCTGAGTGACAGTTAAATTTGTTGAAGGTATTAAATTGCTAATGCTAATGCATTTTACAATCTTCTGAACTGATTTAATATATTAGGCTGCCACTCAAAGTTGTAATAAACAATGCCACACTCTTAGTTGGAAATCATTCTGTCAGCTCTGGAGGCTTTCAGAAATGCCCACCTATGTTCAGAGTTTACAAACACATTTTTATTTCTCTGTGGGCTGCCCCACAAACCAATGACATAAATACTTCAATTTGCATTTCTTGTTGCAGGGTTTGGAACTCGTGCGGAGCCATAATAAACACCTGGCTGGAAATCTCCGAGGCTGGGAAATAATTCTCCACTTAAGGAGGTAAGGATGCTATTTCACATAAGGGAAACGTATTTAAAACTTATTATCAGCTAACGCTATGTACTTGTCATGACTTCATATATATTTCTCAGGTTTGGGTAGAAAAAGTAGGCATGAACAAGCAATAAAACAACAACAGGAAAGCCTGCCTGCTGAATAACTTCAGAAGCCTAAGATTGAGATATGATTGAAGTAAGAAGAAAATATACGTATGTACACCTATTTCTTGAGTGTCTTCTTAACTGTCAAGAGAAAGTGTTCAGTCCAGCTTAGTTTAAGAAAAATAATACTAATATTCCAATAACATTGTACCTTAAAATTCTTAGTGTTTTAGATATGTCATCTCATTTGATTTTTACAATGAACCTGGGAAATATGAAGAAAAAATATTCCCTTTCACAGATGAGAAAACTGGGACTTCCAGTAGGGGAAAATGGTACACCCAGACTGATACAGAATACTATATAATGTATTGTATAATACTGTTTAAGACTTAATACAGAAATATGGAGTCAAGGACTCATATAACCTGCTTTACAGTTCTAACTTTTTATCATTGTACTATAGTGCCTTTCTGAAGAATAAAAATACAATTTCTTTGTCTTAATTTGGATGGAAACTTTCATAAAAATAAATAAGTTGGAAACTTGTTTTGCATAATGTAAATCTAAATAGACTTTAATAAACAAAATAAATATAGGTTGAGCATCCCTAATCTGAAAATCTGAAATCTCAAATGCTACAAAATCCAAAACTTTTTGAGTGCTGACATGGCACCACAAGTGGAAAATTCTACACCTCATCTTCTGTGGCAGATTGCAGTCAAAATGCAGGTGCACACCACACAGTTTATTCGGTGTCCCCTAAGGAAAAAAGGACCTCCCAACCCTCTTCAATTGCAATATGTCTTTTCAGCACACAATATGATGGCCACGCCAAACAACCACAGATTATCGATAGAGGTGGCTGAGATAGTGACATCTTTGCCTTCTAGTGGTTAAATATACACAAACTTGTTTTATTCACAAAATAATTTAAAATATTATATAAAATCACCTCCAAGCTATGTGTATAAGGTCTACATGAGACATAAATGAATCCCACAGTTAGACTTGGGTTTCTTCCCCAAGGTATTTCATTATATGCAAATGGCCAAAATCTGAAAAAAAAATTTTAAAAATCTAGAGTCCAAAACATTTCTGGTCTCAAGCATAACAGATAGGGATACTTAAACTGCAGTTCTAAACAATGACTGCATGCTGCATGCAGTGGGGTTGGAGACAGAAATGGAAATAGACAAAGGCCCTGTCATCAGAGAATGTACTTTCTGAGAGAAGAAGGAGAATACAAACTATCAATATCTGGCATTATATCGTGTAAGTATTATGAAGAAAAGAAAGCAGAGCCCAGAGATAAAGATTAATGGAAAGTGCCATGTTAAATAGAGAAGTTTGGCTTCTCTGAGAAGTAAAACATTAAACAGAAATAAGAATAGTGTGAGAGAGTCAATGAGGTGAATATTGGGGAAAAAATATTCTAAGAAGTAGCTTCAGAGATGATTAATAAGATGCAATCTTACTGTAGTGCTCATTTATTGTTTTGTTTTTTTCCCCAGAGCCTAGTTTGAAGAAAAAGTAAGCAAATAATAAAGAAGAATCAAAATAAAATACCAGACATTACAGATTTATTTTGAAACTGCCAGGAATTGTCTTGAACTCAGCAAATTTTCCATTTAATTTACTACCCTGTTTTATCCGATCTCTAATTCATGAAAATGCAAGAACTTTTCCTGGAAAGGTGCTCTTTGATGCAGAGGAAGGTCACTAGGAAAGGTTGGCTGGCAGCCTTCCAGAGCCTTCCCTGGGATTGCATTCATTACCACAGCGCAGGGGCCACTCTGATCTTTCAGGTTCAGCAGTGCTTTTGTCAACTCAAAGAAAGCAGTTCTATGTATGTGTGCATGTTGGCGGGAGGTGGGGTGGCAGTTCACAGTCATCCAACTCATGTGATCAATGAATAAAATCAGAAGGACAATTTATTCATGCACAATGAGAAATTTAATCGTTCGTTTTGGTAGAATGTTCTTAAACAGAGAGCTGCAGAATTTCTTCCTATAAAGTGCCTGACACTTAGTATGAGCTTAATTAAATTCCAATTGAGTTGAATGTTTCCTTGTTGGAAGATAGACTACATGATGAGACATGTGAAAATCAGAAGGATTCATTATGAACATGACTTTAATCAAAAAGAGCTTCCCTTTGGAAAACTTGGGTAGACTAATACATGAGTTATACAATGTGAGTATCCCTGACAATTGCAATTTAGGCAACCCTGACCATTGCAAATGTTTGCCGAACAGGAGTTAATTCTCCCTCTACCCTTGCTGGAACTTCACCAGGTGGTATTAAATGATACTAACTGGCTTCTCTGATTTTCCTTTTCCAGAACTCCCATTGCTGACCAAACTGCTTGGGAGCTTTCTCCAGATATGTTAAAACATTCTGTTAAGTCTTAGGCCCAGCAGTCCTGCAGGCTCATAAAGGCGACCTAGTACATTGCTACTTTAATGAATTCTATGCGGATTGAGGCCCCCTCTTTCAGGGGGCTCTCTTTGTTCCCTTCTTCCAAATGGAAGGTTATAGCCAAGCTTCTCAAAAATCCTCATGTAGATCAGAAATACATTACCTTGAGGCCACTCTTCCTGTTAATGGAAACATGATAAATCATTTGCTGAACAGGCCAGAAAAATCTGTGAAACATTCTCAAAAAGGCATTCTTACTTCCTTGTTTACTGTCTCATAGGAGGGCCTTCCTTTGAATTGTCTGCCTTTGTTGAAGTATTGTTTAAAAATACTGTCCTAAGAAGCAAGGTTGAATGAAAGTTAAAATTCTCTGTAATATCAGATAGATTTAAGATCCTGTGTTCAACAAAAATTTTTAAACATGAGTTCTACCATCAAGGAACATGTCCCCACTTGTAGAAATATAATAGCTACATGTGACAACTATTTAAAATACCAGGCATAGTGGTTAGTAGCTCCCCCTTGCCAGGAAAGACAATTTTCCTTAAGTGGTGGCAGGGGGATTCCCACAAGGGAGTGCCCCAAACCATCCCAAGATATGACTGGTTGAGATTCCGAAGAGAGAAGCACTTAAACGCCAGGGGAAAGTCCAACACATTTATTAGAGGAACTTGCAGAGTGCTGCAGTGTATCCTGTCTGAGAACAGCATGCACGAAGGGAGTGTTCTGCCTAGGTGAGCCTGCAGCAAAGGTGTCAGGGTATGGAGTTTTTATTTATGAAGGTTTAAGGAATTAGGCTCTGGGCAGGGGCCAGTTTCTTTCAGGGTTTTGGGCAAGAACATAAATACCTTTCTCAGTGCCTGGGAATGTTCCCAGCCCTGGGTTGGGTTCAAGCCTGCTGGGAAAAACATGCAGCTGGCTGGGTCACAGAAAGCTGAGGTACCCTGTGGTTTTTGCTCAGCACACAGAAAGAAAATGGGGGGAATTGGAGGACCTTAAAGCAACTTCAAATTTCTTAGTACTTATTCAGCAAGTGTTTGAGTAGCTATGCTTCAAAAATTGTGCTGCCTCTTAGGATGCAAAGATGATGAAAACGTACTCCTTTGTGATATGGTGCAGAAGTAACTTTTCTTCCTTGTCCATTACTATTCCCCTGACAATGTCTTCAGCCAAGCCTACCAATTGAGTGAGTCTGAGTGCAGACTCACTCAGCTGTTCAAAGACTCAGATCTTTTGTAAACAAATTTCTCTATGTGGAATGTCCTTGTTGCCTCTTCTGCCTGGCAAACACCTGCTCCTCCTTCAAGTCCCAAGCATTCTGACTTACGCAATATTAGTTACTTACTTCCATTGTCATAGGTCCTCTTACCTAATATTTACTACTATTATATAATGACATCCATTACTCTATAGCGTGTAACTATTTGTGCATTTGTCTGACTCACTTTAGATTCTAAATGACTTGAGGTCAAAGACAATATTGTCCTCATTTCGGAATCCTCAGCTTCTTATTCAGTGCCTAACGTTCATTCTGCACATGCTGAGCAAATGTTCGCAGAAAGAATTAATGAATATGTTATACCAAAAATAAATGCTGTAAAGTTAATAAAAGTAAAGGGTCACAGTAGGATGGGACCAGTGGTGTGCCAGTAAATGTTTAACAACTGGCTCCCCAGGAAACCGAAAGGCCATGATTTATAGAGTTTGCTGGTTTTCATTGTGTAAATCTCCCACCACGTCTCATTTCAATATGATATCACTGAACACTGAGTAGGGAGGCAGTAACATGCTATTATGTAGTATTTCCATGATTCTCATACAACATGCATAAGTCAAACTCAGAAGGTAGATTATAGTAAAATGTAGTAAAATAATTAGGAAGCAATGATTTTTAGCATGTATTACTTTGGGTTTTAGTATTATTTAATTGTACATTTATGTAATTATTTTTTAAATAATGACCACATTTAACAATTGGCTTGCAAAGTTCCTGAAAATTTTTAAATTGGCTCTCTCAAGAGCTGGTATGAGTTGATTCCATCTTACCATTAAATGAAGTGTTTTGACTGAGATAGGTAAAGTTGTAAGAAAATTTTAAAGAAAAAATAGTATTTAATCTGTTCATTATGAAGTGGTTATTTCAAGAAGACCATTAAGTTGGATGAAGAATACATGATCCATGGGGATACTGACTTTTGTCTGTTTAATTCACTGATTTATCCCTGGTACGAAGATGAGTGCAGATATGCACCTAGTGCTCATTAAATATTTGTTAAATGAATAACTTTTTAATAAAAGTCACATTTTATAGGCCTTTTGAATGCAATGCTAAGTCAATTTAAAGAGGCCTCCATTGATAAGGTCTAGAGAAAAGAGCAGTTAATTGGATCCCATTCACACAATTTTCAAATTCTGCTTGTATTTAAAAATCAAGAAGAATGGTGATTGTCTCGCTCAACCAGAGGCCTCAGTCATTTGAAGGTAGTTGGAGCAAACAGCACGGCAGTGGCTAGGATATTGGGTCAGTTTGGGGTTCTTACTAGAGAAGAATCTCACAATGACTTCATGCATTGTTTGAAGCTAATGCAATCAAAGCTCTTTTTGGAGTTTCCAGTAGGACCCTAGAAATGCATGAAGGTTGGTTTGAAAGGACAGGAGGTGGAGAAGAGTGTCCCAGGATCCAATTATTGCAGTTTTAAAAGTTATAATTTTACCATAGGGACATTGACTTGTGCTACAGAGGGACATCCTTTATAGAGCTTGAGCTGTGGGTTTTGTGGAAATGTTCCTGAATCTCCTTTTTGTAGTAAATGCTTACATGCCCTGAAAATGCACAGAGGACAAAAACCAAGGTTACTGAAGCTAAAGGTTAGCTTTGCTGGTGAAGGCACTAAGAGGGTCAAAAGGCCTAAGTTTAGAGCTGGATCCCTGTGTGCCCATTACCCACCCTACCTCCATGAATTCTGAAAGCAATTCAGTGATAGCCACCCTTTTGAATAACTTAGTCTTAGGAAGGAGTGGATGGTGCAGGATAGTTATGAAATGGGGTTTTCAAGGCCAGGCCCAGTGGCTCACGTCTGTAATCCTAGCACTCTGGGAGGCCTAGGCAGGAGGATCACTCAAGGTAAGGAGTTTGAAACCAGCCTGAGCAAGAGTGAGACCCTGTCTCTACTAAAAATAGAAAGAAATTAGTCGGCCAACTAAAAATACATAGAAAAAACTAGCTGGGCATGGTGGCACATGCCTGTAGTCCCAGCTACTCGGGAGGCTGAGGCAGGAGGATCACTTGAACTCAGGAGTTTGAGGTTGCTGTGAGCTAGGCTGACGCCATGGCACTCTATCCTGGGCAACAGAGCCAGACTCTGTCTCAAAACAAAAAACAAAAAACAAAAACAAAGAAATGGGTTTTTCAGATAGACTATCTATGCTGCAAGTGACTTAATAACTCTGTGCCTAAGTTTCCTTTTTTGAAAATTGAGGATTTTAATATATACCTCATATTATTGTTAAGAGGATAAAATAATATAATGTATGAAAAGGGTTTCACACAGTATCTGTAATCTTGAGTAGATTTAGTAAGTGACATCTATTGCTATGTATTTTTATTAGTGTATTATCATTATTTGTTCTACATTACTAACAGGAAAAAATTTGTTTGAACTAAACATAAAGGATGTTTAAGGGATAGTCCAAAAATATAAGGCAAAGGTCCAGGCCAGATATGCACAGTTTTGCCCTGATGAACCACTTTTCTTTAATTGGATTTTTTAAATAATTAATTAATTAATTTTATTTTGGCATATTATGGGGGTACAGATTTTAAAGTTTCAATAAATACCCTTTCCCCCCTCCCCCCACAAGTCTGAGTTTCCAGCATGACCATCCCCCAGATGGTGCGAATCTCACTCATTATGTATGTATATACCCATGCCCCCTCCCACCTGCCCTATACCCTATTACTATAGTACCTATGTGTCCACTTAGGTGCTACTCAGTTAATGTGGTGCTTGTTTTTCCATTCTTGGGATACTTCACTTAGTAGTATGGGTTCCAGCTCTAACCAGGAAAATATAAGATGTGCTATATCACTGTTGTTTCTTAGAGCTAAATAGTACTCCATGGTATATATAGATTACATTTTATTAATCCATTCTTGGATTGATGAGCAATTGGGCTGTCCTTGCAATTATGAATTGTGCTGCTATAAACATTTGAGTGCAGGTGTCTTTTTTGTAGAGTGTCATTGGATCTTTTGGGTAGATGCCCAGTAATGGGATTGCTGGATCAAATGGTAGATTCACTTGTATTGCTTGATTTTAATTGCTGTTATTAACACTCCAGATTTTTAAATTCTGTGACAAAGTTGAAATCTTCATGTATTTCCATATATTAACCTATGTGGTAAGTGGGTTTACATAGGGAAAAAGGAAAAACTTAGTTTTACAGCATGTTAAATTTGGGATGCTTAA